GGAAAATTATTTAAATATATGATTACTGCGGCGAGGTTATTTTATGCATAGGGGTGGGAAGATTCGACACTACCCACTATGGAGGAATGGTTGGTGAAGTTGACAGATTTTGCTGAAATTGATAAATTGGCTTCTTTGATTAGAGAGAAGACATTATCTACATTTATTGGTGATGACAGGAAGCCTCTTATGGACTTTTTACATAAAAATAAATAAAATGAACTTGGGATTTATGATTTTGATGATTAGATGGGATAGATTATAGAAAGAAAAATAATATGATGTAACTTTAGAGAGAGAGGTTAAAATATATTTGTACTTATAACTCCTGTGAAAAATATCGGAAGCCACTTCTTTATATCTTTTTTCTTTCTTTTCTATTTTTCTTCAGCTTTTTTTCTTTTCTTGCACTTTTTGCTTTTTCTTTGATTTCCTCCTTTTTTTCCCCTTACTTCCTTACTTTATATTAGTTTGTATTAGTTTTTATCTTGTTTAAAAGTTTTAATAAAAATTAAGTAAAATTAAAAGTTTTTAAGCAAAAATAAGTGCTAGAAGTGTCCTCATTATAACTTGTTCTGCAAAACCACACCCCATTTTCTAATTATTCACTGCTAGAGTTGGAATGTCTCAATAGGTAGCAGCACCTACATAATCTTGATTGATCCCCAAAAAGAAAAGCAAGATCAAATCTGGTTATCTCTTAGATGGAAGCCAACCAATAAATCCCAGGTCTGTGTGTTGACTGGGAAATTGAAACAACATCCTAGAAGAATGCAATGCCAAATTACTTTCGTATTGCTGCTGAGAAAAATAAATGGATGTGTCCATGTAGTCAACAGCTGAGCATAAGGGAGTTCTTTATTTTTAGAGAAGCACTTCAAAGAGTCTATAATGAAACAGAGAGGATAGTGCAAAGCAAATTAACAACACAAATTCGTGGTAGAAGCTTTGAAGAAATTCCAGTTTATGTGCATGGCTAACCCTTATGTATTCCTAGCTTCACAGATCACACTTGCATAAGACAAAATGCAGCAGTTGAATTTAAAAACAGAATAACTTTTCCCAATTAGGTGCTTTTTAGGGATGTACTTGAAATAGAAATTGGATGTGTTTTCAATGTGAAATAAACTTTTGTGTTGTAGAAGCTCTGCCAAATCATTTAAGATCAGCCATGAGTCAGCCAAAACAAAAACAAAACGTTTTTATTACTTTGTGTTTGGGTCATACTGAAACCTGGAAGGAACCTGGAATGATATCACAGGATGTATAGGACAAATTAAGTGGATGCTCCATTCACTCTACTCCTTTTATGATGCTGATGACTTCCTGACAATATAGTCGCTGTGGATAGGGCTAGCCCTTCCCTTTTCCTCTTGCTATACTTCCTCCTGCCAAGAAACACTTCAGTTTTGGGTTTTTACACGCCCCCCCCTTCTCTTACACTTCTGCCTGGAAGAAACATACTTTGGACCATATCCAGAATAGTTCCACATCGTTTGATATTCAGGCCAAAACACACATATTCCAGATGGAATGCATGGAATAGTTCACATACAGAACATCTTAACACATTCCTAGTGCCTTCTGGGTATGTTGGGGTTACAAATTTCACTGAGGAACTCTGGATGTGTATTAAAGGATAATACAGAATATATACAGTAAGTAGGGAATATTTAACAATGGTTTTTCAGTGTGTGTCAAGTGCTTCAACTAATATAAACTATGATTTTGCTGATTATCACAGCTTTAAATAAATATTGCCAAAACCTCTTACCTTCTTCACCAGTATTTTCATCTGGTTTTTTAAATTCATCCTTTTGTGGCATCTCTTGTTCTAGTTCTCCTTTTGTAATTGGCTTAGCTAAATCAGTTTTTTTGTAGTCTATATTGTCATCCATTTTCTAAAACAGAAGAATTAATTATGCCTGATATTCAGACTTAATTTTACGAACATTACAAAACAAAGCTAAATATATCATGCTTGACAATTTCCTTTCCTTCTTCCTCCCACTACAATACATTTCTAAACATAAGATATTTGAACCAAGAACAGATCAAGCAAATTACTGATTTTTATAATACAAAATGAGGATAGCATACCTTGGATGGCCAGCAGAACAATATGCCCAATCCTATAGGTAGGGCTAAAGTCAAGATATAAATAATCCAAAGCCATGGGCGTTCTTCTGCAGCAGTCACCAACTGACTAAACATACCAGGCTAAAAGAGCAAAGCGGGTGCAGATATTTACAGAGCTCATGCTTCATGGAAAGTATTTTTCTTCAATACATTATAATTTTTCTCAAAAACATTGATCTATAGCAATATTCTATAGCAATTACAAGCAAGAATGTTAATATGAAAGAAATATCTGAACATAAAGAAGCCTCTATCTTAATCGTGTTACATCTCAAATCAACAACAAAAATTGGTGGATCACATATCTGAAGAATGGATATAGTGATTTGCTTCATGAAGTGAGAGCGTTAGTGGCTGAGGTAACTAGTATTTAAAAATGAAGTTTGTTCTCAAACAGATTTTATCATAATCCGAGAATTGATAATACAATAAGTTGTGTTTTCTATACTAAGAATTCCTCTCTACTACATTTTTTCTACATTCTTTAACCAAACTTTATCATTCTTCTTAGATGTGTACTAAAAACAAAGCTACAAAAAATAGCACTGAAAGGAAGGGTCTGTCTCTTGGTAACATTTCTTTTGAAATTTCTGGGAAAAGTCATCACTGGCATGGAGTCAGTTATATATGTACAACTGATACCCAGTAATATATGTATCAGCCCCACACCAAACAAGTGATGTAGTAAAAGTGTTGAACCAGTGGTTGGAGGCTGTCAAAGTCTCGATGCAAAGGAACAGACTCAAACTGAAAACCTCCAAACACAGTGACTTTGGATCTGTGGCCAAATGATTCCAGAATAGTACCATCTTCAGTTCTGAACAGAATTGTATTCCTCTGTTCAGATATGGTCCATAACTTGGGTCTTCATGGACTTACAAGTGGCAGCTGTTTCTAAAGGGCTTTTACACAGTTATACGTTGTGTACCAATTGCAGCCATTCCTTGATTGGGAAGCCATGCTCACAATCACTGATGTCCTAGTTACTTCCTATTCAGATTAAAGTAACAAATTCTACATAGGGCTGCCTTTGGAAAGCATTTGGAAGCTACAGTTGATACAAAATACGACAGCTGGGGCAGTGATGGGCATTTCCCATTACATTTGAGTGACTCGACACTATACTGGTTGCCACTGACTTCTGGATGCAATTCAAAGTGCTGGTTGTCACCTTCAAGACCTTACATGGTTCTGGACTATGATTCTGGTTATCTGAATGACCATCTACTCCTATATTCGTCTGCCCATCCAATCAGATTGAACAGGGTCAGCTCCCTCCAGGTCCTATCTATCTGGGAATGGGAATCTGATGGGACTTAGGAAATGGGCATTTTCAATCACTGCCCAAATGCTTTGGAGCTTTCTCCCTACAAAGATCTACCTCTTCACTCATGGCTTTTAGGAAACAAGTTAAAACCTGGCTTTTCCATCTAGCCCAGGAGGAAGGCATACTTTGAATGTTAGGATGCATTGGCAGACACGTAACTATGTATTTTGTTTTATCCCTTAAGAGGATATTGAGGTTTTTAATTTTTATCCAGTGGTTTTCTTTATTTCTATTGAGAGCTTAGGCTTTTTTTAAAAAAAGTTTCTGATTGTTAACCATTCAGAGCCTTCAGGAACGAATAGCAAAGAAACAGAGTACATACCGTATTTTTCCAACAATAAGACGCTCCCCATGTACAAGACAACCCCACTTTACCAGACCCAAAAT